TTGGTACTTAGTGCTCGCCATGGTTCTGGCCCGCACTTCCCTCAGCATGGCGGCGTGGGTATATCGTTCCCCATAGCGACCCCTAGAGGACGCAGTTCGAAGTTTCCTTGAAAGGGAACGTCTCAGGTTACTTATGTAACCATGGTTCCCTGAGTAGGGAACGAGGGAACGTCCTCTAGGCTTCCTGCCATGCTTCGAACGCAAGCTTCAGACGAAGAAGTGAATGGCATGTTCTCCCGGCGCCAATTTATACTATAGTCGCATCGGTAGGGACGTCATGGGCTGTTGCCGGCCAACGTGTTGTTGGTGTTTTTTTAATGTATGCTTCAGACATGGGTCCCCGACGAGGCGTTCCTCCATAGCGACCCCTAGAGGACGCAGTGTCTCGTTCCCTACTCAGGGAACCATGGTTACATAAGTAACCTGAGACGTTTTTCCATCAAATGTATTCTAACAAGTTGGTTGAATAAAAATATTTGGACTTTATATTTAAAAAAAAAATGACCTCAAGTTAGCATTAGGTTGCTAGTTAGCTAGCCAGTTAGAATCAGCTAACATTTTTTTTCAAAAAGGCTATTATAATTTTGTAATTCATAATTATTGATTTATATTATTTTTTAATTTTAAGCTAAAGCTGCATGTACTCTGATTTTGCTGTAAATGTTTAAAGCAAATTGCTTTGTCAGACTGGGGGGCATTTTACCCCAAAAGGCCCCCTTGGCACAAATTAAATTTTTGTTAAATCTCTAATAAACATGAAAACTCTGGACATTTTTCATACTTGGTTTATAATGTATGTCATTGTCACTAAAACAATGATAACTTTTCTGAACACATTTAAGTCCTAAAGGGGATGTTTTCCCCCACATTTGTATTTCGCTCAATAGTTGGATTGACTACAAGAACACAATGTCTCCATCATTAGGATGGAATTTGTGATTAGCTCACGCGGTGTACAGGCTGAACTTAATACAAACTTTTAAACATCAGAAAACAACAAAATATTCACCCTTTAAGGGGTAACATTTGCAATTCTTATAACTTCAACACATTAAGAATGCATTCTTATTACATTTACATGTCTTTCATACCTGATTAGGGGAGATGTGATAGTTAAAGGGATAGTTCACCCAAAAATGAAAATTTGATGTTTATCTGCTTACCCCCAGGGCATCCAAGATGTAGGTGACTTTGTTTCTTCAGTAAAATACATTTGATGATTTTTAAGTCCAACCCGTTGCAGTCTATCAGTCGTATAATGGATGGCAATGGTTACAAAGTCTATGAGTGTAAAAAAAACATGCACAGACAAATCCAAATTAAACCCTGCGGCTTGTGACGACACATTGATGTCCTAAGACATGAAATGATCGGTTTGTGCCAGAAACCGAACAGTATTTATATAATTTTTTACCTCTAATACACCACTATGTCCAACTGCTTTGAGCACGCGCACGGCTTCCGGTGTGTGAGATGTGTACGCGCTCTGGCGTAGTTTACGAGTTTATGCAAGCGCCGGAAGTGATCGCTCGCGCGTATATGTCACTCATTGTTTACACAGTGCACAGACATTGTAGGTACGGCGGCTAATCAAAATGGTACTTACTTGCGCTTATCCGAATTGTTCAAACTGACTTCTGAGCCTGCTCGCCTGAAGTTATGGTTGATTGCTCTTCGGCTGGATATCAACACACTGTGATGAGTCGGCTGCCTCCCCCTAATTATCAGCATCACCCCATCCCTTAATCGCCACCCTTCGCCAGGCTCCCGACATGAGTGCGTGTGTGAGAGAGGAGGGGCGCTGAAATAGCCAGGGCTGGGGGCGTATGATGGGGCACACCTGAACCGAATGGAGCCTCATCGCCACCGCTGTTTAAATGCCGAGCGCGCCTCTCCTCGGGAGACCGGTCTCTTCCCCGTGCATGCACGCTGGTGTCCTCGTGGGTCCAGGAGGGGTGTGTAGAGGGACTCACGTGCCGCCAGAGTCGTGAGCTGCCGAACCCGCAGTCCGGACGAGAACCGCACCCGTTACACGGCCGTCAGGGCAAGGATGCTGGGCCATCTAGTCCCTTCAAGTGCCGTGAGCAGAGAGAAGGACGAAGCCGCTGATAGAAGCCGCCGCCGGACTCCACCCCTTACCTGGACCTTTCCTTCCTTACTGACCACTGCCCTTCCCTTCACGAACCCCGCAGCACGACGAGGACACCAGATCCCCTGTTTATTTTGGACACTTGATTCCCTTTTTTCTGGACACTTTGTTTATTTTCTGTTAATAAACGATGTCTGTCGTTTGCTCCTCCCGCGACAACAAACCCATTAACGTAACCTACGCCAGAGCGCATACACATCTCACGCACCGGAAGCCGTGCGCGCGCCCAAAGCAGTTGGACATAGTGGTGTATTAGAGGTAAAAAATTATATAAATACGGTTCGGTTTCTGGCACAAACCGATCGTTTCGTGTGTTGGGACATCGATGTGTCATCACGAGCCGCAGGGTTAAATTTGGATTTGTCTGTGCATGGTTTTTTTACTCTCATAGATTTGGTTACCATTGCCATCCATTATAAGACTGATAGACTGCAACGGTTGGACTTAAAAATCATCAAATGTGTTGTACTGAAGAAACAAAGTCACCTACATCTTGGATGCCCTGGGGGTAAGCAGATAAACATCACATTTTCATTTTTGGGTGAACTATCCCTTTAATAAAACACAGGACATGGAGCTGCTGCTTCATCATCAGAGTCTCTGTCTTTTCTGAGCAGCGCGCCCCCTTTCCAAACAGGTGAACACTTCCTAAGGAAAGGCAATCAATAGCTATGTTTCCATCCACCTATGTTTATGTGCATTTTGAAATACTGCATAAAAAGATGCTGGATGGAAACACCAAGATGTGCATAAATTCTAAAAATGCGCATAAAAAAACATGCGCACAATTGAGTTGGATAAACTTTTTATCCGTTAATAAAAAAATGCGCATAAACTACGATAGAAACACATTTACCGAATAAAGTCAAAAAAGCAATGTGACTTTGCATGATAGGACGGGATAACTTGACTAACCAGCAGACCGTTCTCGTTGCACCCCTTACCAAAAAGTAATATACTTCAAGTTTATTTTAGTAAGTATACTTAAATAAAGTTCAAGTACATTTTTAAGTATACTTTATGTAGTAAGTATACAAATATCAGTGTACTAGTAGTATACTTGTAAGTGTACTATTTCAATACTCCTTGGGATTAAATTGGCCCACTTTCTAGTATATAAAAGTATACTTTTAAGTATGCTTTAAGTATAACAGTAGTAAACTTTGAGTACAGAACTAGTTTACATCAAAATGTTTAGTTTTTACTGCAACTATATTAAAAGTGAACTTATAGGTATACTGATAGTTTACTAATTAAATACTTGTAGCATTTTTAGTGCACTTTGAAGTATAGTCTCAGTAAACTACTAGTTTAGTAGTTTTATACTGCAAGTATATTCGTACGTTTTCTTTAAGTGAACTTTACATCATACTTTAAGTATACTACTATGTCCCTATTTAGGTATTAATTTGTACATATTTTGTTACATGAATATCTGAACATACAAAACATCAAAAGAAAGAACAGGGTATCTGCTTGTAAACAAAAACATTTTATTCTAGTTTCATGCATTCTTTTTTAAGACACTTTAATGTGGATAAGTTTCATAAATAAAAAATAAAGAAATAAACAACAATTTGAACAAAAAGCTGAAAAAAGACTATGAATTGGATTCAGAATGATAACCAAAACGTAGATAAAGTCGATTAAACCCCCTAAAGCTTGACAGTTTTCATTGGTCGACATTTTATTCCATAATGTTACATAGTTTTGATACTGTTTTATGTCTGATGATCGTGTTAGATTACATGTGGAAGCATCTGTTGTTTCGGTTTATTCTTCACTTGTGTTTTTTGGAAATTCTGTACAGAAGATGTGTACTAGCGCCCCCTACAGTATAACAATGAAAACACGGATTCTAAGAGCACAATTATAGCTAAAATATATTTAGACTTTTTCTAAGTATAAGCCAAGTATACTTAAATGTCATTTTAAGTATATTTCTGAGAAGTACATAAAGCCCATTTCTGAGAAGTACATAAAAAGTAGACAAAGAATACTTTCCTATTTTTAGTTTAAAAGAAGTACACTAAAAGCACACTTGAATAAACTTATTTTTCGTAATGGACAGCATCTGAAATGTTGTTTCAGTCATTCTGAAATGCCCAAGCAAATTGTCTTACATGACTGTTCCCAAACAGCAGGCATCCACCTCCAAAGGAATAACAGCATTTATTGTTTCGTCTGCTCACTCTGAGGCGCAAGTAATTTATATATGAAAATTATTATATTCAGTAGCTTCTCCTACTTTTCTTAGTGATATTTAGTGTCAGTTTGTCAGGAAGTGATGATTTTGTTCTCTTTGACCCATTGGATGGAAAGAAGAAGGATTAGTTGCATTCCTGCTAGATCAATGATTATGGTCAGTTGTTCTGTAATGTTGTGGGGACTGGAGGAAACAAGCAGACGCGAGAATCTAAGTGCAGGCTGTTTAATGAAGTGACTAAATAAACGAAGCAAAACAGCAAAAACATAGAAAAAAAAACACGAGGAAAACAGCAACCATTAGTTATAACAAATCACAAAGCACAAGAGAAACACAAGGGCTATAGGTAAATACACTGGAGAACAAAAGGACCAATAAGTAACTATGACAACAAACAAGGAAAGGGGTGTGGCTAATACATTGCCATGACAACTAACAAGGGACAAGGCACACGGGGTAGTGGGGGACCTGGTCACTGTCCTCTTCCTCCTGCCCTCTTGGTCCACCAGCAGGCTTCAACAGAGACACGTGAAAGGTGGGAGTGATGTGATAAGTAGTGGGCAAGGCAATGGGGTTTGACACAAGGGTAATCGGTCTAAGAATTTTGAATGGACCAATTTATCCACATTTCTTGAAGGGTAGATGGAGACGTAGATCACAGGTAGAATGCCAGACCCACTGACCTGGAGTGTATTCCGGGTTGGGATGCAGTGATGGACAGCCTGTTCCTTTCCTCTTCTGAATAAATAACTGAATAAGGGAGGTTGAAATCGTAGCACACATTGGAAAGGGGTCAAAAACCTGTGGAGGGTTTCTGTAGTGAGTTCTGGGCATGTTCTGCCCAAAGCAGATGCTCCAGTAAGACTGATTCTGGTTCGCAGTATGTCCATAGAAAGTGAGTCAATTCTTGATTTAAGTGTTCAGTTTGACAGTTGAATTCAGGATGATACCCATTTGTAAGGATGACGTTTACTTTGAGCTGTTGGAAGAATGTGGACCACACTCAAGAGGTAAACTTGGGCCCCGGTCTGAAACGATGTCCTCGGGTATACCATAATATCTGAATACCCACCAGAAGTGGTTGCGGAGTAGCAGTAATACCAGGATGCCCGGAACTAGGGGAGGAATGAATGCACTACAAGACCTTCTTTTGGAATGATGAAGAAACATAAGTCTGATTCAGAGGACAGTGTGGGAGTGATGGGTTACATGCTTGTTCCATTGTACAGGAACCAAGATCATGGTTGACCATATGAAGGGTTCGTCGGTCTTTGCATGTTGTGAGGACTCATATTGTTGGGAAAGAGCATTGGCTTTCGTGTTTTTGAAACCTGTATGATATGTGACAGTGAACTTAAACTGAGTAAAGAAGAGAGCCCACCTGGCCTGTCTGAGATTGAGTCTTTTGGCCATGTGAAGATACTCTAGATTTCTATGATCTGTCAGGACCAGGAAGGGATGTTTTTTTTCTTCTAGCCAGTGCTGCCACTCCTCAAAAGCTGCTTTCATGGCCAGCAATTCCCAGTTCCCCACATCATAGTTCTGTTCAGCAGGAATATGCTTGCATGAATAATATAGACAAGGGTAGAGTTTGGGTGGTGCACCATGACATTGGGAGAGAATGCTATGATGCCTCTGTTGGAAACATCTGTTTTGACAGTGAAAAGAAGGTTAGGATCAGTGTTATGAAGAATGGGTGCTCAAGTAAAGCTTGCCTTGAGATTTTGAAAGGAGTGGAGAGCTGTCGGGGACCAAGATAACGCAGTACTCAGTCCTTTGCGAAACAGGGCACTGCAGTGGCAGTATCAAATGAGCAGGGCACTGCAGCGGCAGTATCAAATGATGCGGGCACTGCTGTGGCAGTATCAAATGAAGCAGGGCATTGCAGCGGCAGCATCAAATTTAATTTAACTGATCAGAATTAGATGGACTTTCTTTGTCTGAAAATTATTGGTCCTGATATAGCTCTTGGAAGTGTCCGATGACAATTGACCGAGAGCTTGGATCTTCTGCTGTGAGAGACCTTTTTGAGCTGCTGTAGTTACTGCCCTGATTCGGAAGGAGTGGCTGGAAAATCTTTCTACGGGTATGACTGGTTGGGCGATGTTTTTTGAACATTGTTTGGATAAATGTTTTTGAAACCAAAAACGTGTGACGGGGTGGTTACATCGACAAAAAGAGGGTCAAGGGGAGGATGTAGACTGAGAGCTTCTAAATTGCAGGTAAGAAAAAGGGCCTGATACGGTTGGATTGGTGACAGGAGGTTAAAAATTTAGACGTGGTGACCTCTTTTTCCTGATCTGATTTACTTTGATGAAATAGGAGATTGTTTCGCTGTCGAGCACGGAAAGGTCGGAGACGGTTGGATGGAGTTTGGGGTTGAATACAATGCTGTAGTTACTGCCCTGATTCGGAAGGTGTGACAGGAAAATCTTTCTATGGGTATGACTGGTTGGACGATGTTTTGGATCGTTTGGATAGATGTTTTTGAAACCAAAAACGTGTGACGGGGTGGTTACATCGACAAAAAGAGGGTCAAGGGGAGGATGTAGACTGAGAGCTTCTAAATTGCAGGTAAGAAAAAGGGCCTGATACGGTTGGATTGGTGACAGGAGGTTAAAAATTTAGACGTGGTGACCTCTTTTTCCTGATCTGATTTACTTTGATGAAATAGGAGATTGTTTCGCTGTCGAGCACGGAAAGGTCGGAGACGGTTGGATGGAGTTTGGGGTTGAATACAAGTTATTGTGAATTCCAAGCATCTCAGGAAACCAAAAAAAGCCAGTATGAACATTGCGTCGAGTCTACGAGCGGTATGAAGATAGTGTTACCCTGTGCAGAGAATGTGGATATATTTAGAAAGAATGTCGAAAGTTATCGGCTGTCTAGCGTCCGGGCTTGGAGGATGAGAGTGCTGAATTCCTTTGATCAAAAGAGATGTTTGAGAATTGTTTATTTCAGGAGAGGGGCGCCGTAGATTAATTTGTGAAAAAAATGGATGCCGCTTAGATAAACTTTGATGGACCGGGCTTGGAGGTTCTTACAGGTGTTGAGGTCGGAAACGAAAGATGTGATTGAGAGGAGGGAGAAATCTGGAAATGGCAGGTTGTACAAGAGGTGGAAAGCTTTAAATCATCTCCAAGCAGTTAGATAAGATTGGATGGTTCTGGGTGAAACTGCTTGGAGGATCGAACCGAGTGACGCGTTGTGGAGGTTTTAAGGTATGTGTTGTGGGAATACAAGTTGCTATTAGTGAGGTACTGGGGTTGGCGATGGGTCCGCCTCCGGAGCCAGCGCTCTGAATTTCTGCGAGAATCTGAGACTTGATGGTATTAGGCACAGGGGGTGGTTCCTGAGCTGCAGCATTCGGTGGGGTAGGTAGTGGGACTGCGGTTAATGAAGTGTACTGAGGTTTAGATTGGAGAGAAGGGTTAAAAGGAAGATAAGGAGGGGCCGTAACCTTTTGCGGAGGCAGCCTCACGAACGGATTAGCCTCTGGTGCTGAGGGAAGCACGCAGGAAGAGGTAGGTGTACTGAGGTTTAGGTTGGAGAGAAGGGTTAAAAGGAAGATAAGGAGGGGCCGTAACCTTTTGCGGAGGCAGCCTCACGAACGGATTAGCCTCTGGTGCTGAGGGAAGCACGCAGGAAGAGGTAGAAGGAAATGAGGGAGGAGGTCTGTAAGCTTGCGCTGCTGGCTGATGATGCCCTGCTTGGACGTCAGCAGCGGGGTCTGCTGGCCATTGATAGGAAAAAGAAGTAGCAGAAGGGTAAGAGTAAGGTGGCTGATCTTGAGTGGCTAGCGGAGGCAGCCTCACGCTAACGTCTGCCGCCGGAGGTAGAAGGAAGGGAGTGAGAAAGATAGAAGTTTGGGAAGCTACGCCAGCGGGCGACATTGCGTGCGACGCTGTAGCTGAAGGCGCCACAGTGATTGGTTGAGAAGAGGAGTGAGGCAATGCAGTGTGAGGAGCAGCCGAGTCTGGGGCACGGCCCAGGCTTGCTGACGGCCTGCTGCGTCTTCAAGCTCGAGGGGAGCCGGAACTTGATCTGTACGACAACTTAATTTTGAATGAAGTAGGGAGCTAAGAGGAAGAGGTGCATGGGCTGCAGTTGTCAGCAGAGGCAGCCTGACGTTTAAATCGGCTTCCGGGTTAGTGTCTGCTATGGGAGCTGGAGGCCACGGAAAAGAAAAAGCAGTCATTAGAAATGGGAAGAAAAGCCCGAGATGTGTGGGCCTGAGTTGCAAGCGGAGGCAGCCTCACGCTTCCTTCAGCTGCTGTAGGTCACGGGAAGGGAGTGGGTTTTGTGACATCCTGAAGAGCCTGTGCAGCCTGCACAGCTAGCAGAGGCAGCCTCACGCTAGTGTGTGCTGTGGGAGCTGGAGGCCACTGAAAAGGAAAAGGATAAGGATTAGAAGTAACAGGAGGAAAGACTGAGATGTGAGGGCATGTGTTGCAAGCGTAAGCAGCTTTGCGCTTGTTTCAGCTGCTGTAGCTGTAGGCCACGGGGGCTTGTGATATTCGGGGGAAAATGCTGGAGAGCCTGTGCAGCCTGCAGAGCTTGCAGAGGCAGCCTCACACTAGTGTGTGCTACAGGAGCTGGAGACCACTGAAAAGGAAGAGAGGTTAGAAGTAGCAGGAGAAATATGACAACTTTGACAAGATCATAAAATGACGAAAAGACATGCTTTTCCTCTTAACCACACAATAAGTAGTAAGTATTGAAACCGCTAGCCAGCCAAGCAGCACATCAGCTGATAGAGACTTGGAGAGAGGTGCCTAGCAGTATGCACAATGCATGCAAATTAGGTTGCTAGTTGTACTTGTTCAATAATAATAATAATAATAATAAGGATAAGGATTAGAAGTAACAGGAGGAAAGACTGAGATGTGAGGGCATGTGTTGCAAGCGTAAGCAGCTTTGCGCTTGTTTCAGCTGCTGTAGCTGTAGGCCACGGGGGCTTGTGATATTCGGGGGAAAATGCTGGAGAGCCTGTGCAGCCTGCAGAGCTTGCAGAGGCAGCCTCACACTAGTGTGTGCTACAGGAGCTGGAGACCACTGAAAAGGAAGAGAGGTTAGAAGTAGCAGGAGAAATATGACAACTTTGACAAGATCATAAAATGACGAAAAGACATGCTTTTCCTCTTAACCACACAATAAGTAGTAAGTATTGAAATCGCTAGCCAGCCAAGCAGCACATCAGCTGATAGAGACTTGGAGAGAGGTGCCTAGCAGTATGCACAATGCATGCAAATTAGGTTGCTAGTTGTACTTGTTCAATAATAATAATAATATTAATAGTTTCTTTATGATAGGCCTTAATTGTTAGTTTGCGCCTATAATTGTACACTGTTTAACTTATTTTCACAAAAATCAATCTTTTTCATCTTATCTGTCTATCTGAGTACAATGTGTAATTTAAAATACAGGTAAAAAGCTAGTGAAAATTAATACAGAAAATTAGAGTAATTTCATTGTGTGTTCTACGCAGTTTTGCGTCATGGTTACAAAAATGACATCAACATCCATAATGTCATCACGTCGTTTAACAACTTTTAACAACAAATGACCTACCTTTAGCGACTTTACCTGAAAATTAAATTGCAACACGGCCTGCAATGCCAGCGGAAGCAGCCTCGCGCTAGTGAATGCTACGAGAGCTGGAGGCCTGGCCGGAAGAGCCGCGGTGAAAAGTTGAGCCGAAGCGGGAAACGAATGAGGTTTTGCTGCGGTGAGAACTGGAGCGCGGCCCAGGCTTGTTTAAGGCTTACTGCTGTGACCCAAAGCTCAAGGAGAGCCGGGTCTTGTGCAGGACAATGGTGGTGTCGAGTGAGGCGAATCTGAGGCTTTGCTCAATCTTTTGGCCGCCTTGGCTAATTTGCAGGGGAAGAATAGATTGTACAGATCAGCTTTGTTTACCCTCCATGAGAATGGTTAGTCGGAAATAAATCAGCGTTTGCTTCAGCCTTAAATACTATCCACTTTCTGATCGAAGGATATATTGACATGGCCGAATGATACAAGGATGTTGGGGAAGTTGGAAGTCTCACCGGTGGAGTCGAGATTAAGCCTCGACGTTGTGGAGAGCGTGTGGCTGGTCGAGCAGAGTGGTGGCCGCGATGAAGCCCTATTGCTCGGTGGTGGTGACTGGCGGAAAAGGAGTGAGCCTAGGGCCGGCAGATTGCGACGGAGGATACGAAAGATCTCCGGTACAGGTCTCGTCGTAGTACGGAAAAAGTTGAGTCTGTGATATACAGGCTAAAGGAGCAAAACTGAATGCTGGAAAACTGTCGAGGAACTGAGGCAAGTTGGCTGTATATATATACATATGTATATATATATATATATATGTATTGTGCTTGTTAAGGTGATTGGCTGATGAGCTCCACCTGGGCCAGACTGATTGATTATCTGATCGTGCTCCTCCCGAACCTTGTTAATAAAACATCATATAGATAGATAGATAGATAGATATTTTTTTATTGAATATATGGAGTAATTCATAGTCTAGGGTGGAGAAATGAACACTTGAATTTAGCAACTTGTAACTTGATGGAAAATAAATACACAGATAAAATGAAAAACTAAACTAAAAACATGTCAGCACAATTAGCAACCAATAGATATAAACATAGGCTGTCTAAAAGCTAAAGCTGAAATATACTGCCTCCACGAGCAGTGTACAGAGGTCGACAAGGCATATCCAAATCCAATAATCATATCACAACATGTCTATGCCTTCATCTGATCGATTTTTGAAAGTAGCATAGATGTATCCTTTGATATCCCACTATTCTGTGTGTGCAGTTCTGTACAGTAGAGCTGAAGAATATAATGACATCTGAAAGTTGCAGACAGCAGTCAGTTTGAGTATTTATATTATTATGATTTTGACCATTTTTTCAACTTAAAATTTAAATTTCTAGTGAAAAGTATTGTAGTAATTACTTATTTGTTTAGTTATCACAAAAGATCCACATTTAGGTCCGCTCGATAGAGACTCCAAGGCCTGAAATATGTGTGTCAGACAAAGGAGACATGCAAATTGTGCAGTGTTCATAGGGCTCCAGCAACACGGTTGGAAACCACTGCATTATTAGACTGTTATGTTACCTCAGAAGCATGTCTGTTTCACGAGATACCTTTGTACACAAATGCTGCCTGTAAAGTTTTTGCCTGTTAGGGCAGTGAAGCTTTGGAATGCAGCCATAAATGAATCAACAGGACAACTGCGAAAACAGTTACAATTAAACTAAATACAATCTAAGAGTTCTCACAATACAGCTGAACAGAATTCACATCACATGATCATGGATTGTGCTTTACATATATTACAATAGCTTATTGTAGTCATCGCACATTTTCCCTTTGTAACATCCATTCATTTATAATAGACATTCACTTACTTTAAAAAGGTAAAACCTTTCTTTTCTTTATAAATTTGAGAAACGTTTGTCTTATTTCTTTTGTTCTCCACCCATAGATTATTGGGTTGAAACAACTTGGAAACATAATGTATATTATGCTCATAAATGTACGGTTGCTAGAAGAAACATTACTCCTTATTCTGTAGGACATAAATGCAATCAAGGCAGAAGTCAAACTAAGTGTCATAACAATGATGTGGGTAATGCAGGTATTTATGGCCTTAAAATGAGCCTTACCAGATCTAAACACAGAGGTAAAAATCACAACATATGAAATTGTAATGAGAATAAAATCAGTAGTTGGGATTATGAAAGCAGACAGAAGTCCTACAATGTTATTAACAGATATATCTCCACAGGCTAACTGAACCAATGCCATGTGCTCACATAAACAGTGATCGATCATATTTCTACAAAATGTCAGTTTTCCTGCTAAAGAGACCATAGTGACCATCAGAAATCCATTTCTGATTAATGGCACAAAAACAAATTTTGAAAAGTTAGCAATTTCCATGTATTTATGATAATTAAGTGGTTTGCATATTGCAAAGTAACGATCCAGTGCCATCCACAAAAGCAAAGTAGATTGAAATGCTCCAACAAAATGAATGCCAAACATTTGTATCAAACAACCAGTCAGAGATATGCCACTCCAATTGAATAAAAAGCTAAGAAGCATGTTAGGTACAAAAAATATTGGTAAGATCAAGTCTAAAACTGCCATAACACCTATTAATACGTACATAGGAGAATGAAGAGACTTTTGAGATTTGATTAAATATATGAGAATAGAATTTTCTGTGATAGCCAATAAAAACATCAGAAAGAATGGAATAAATAAAAATGGCCTCCATTCTCCTAAGCTGTAGAAACCAATCAGCTTAAAGTCTGTGAATGAAATATTTTGTGCAGAAAGATCCTTCATGCTGAATAAAAGCCCTGCTGTGTTGATAAAACTGAGAAATTATAGTTGATCAAGTTTCCCTCTTAACAACATACGGATACCCTGAAATCAAATACATATTTACGTCATGGTGAAAAATATAACCCTGTGTTGTGAAACAAAATCATTGTTTCCGCTGCAATAAAATGACAATACAAAACAAATAAACATTATTATTATCAGTCAGATAAGAGGTGTGTTGTGTTTGAAGCTTTCATTACACTCATTAAAATTTATGACAAGCTCTAAATATACTGTTTCGTTTTCCCATGTGTCTGTTAGCTACTCCCATAGAGCAATAGAGCTCACTTCCTTTTTGTGGTATTTGCTTCTGTGGTGGTGGTCATTGGTTTTCTGATTTCTGTGATTTTTATGACCAACAATCACTACAAATGCAATGCATTTGAAAGAAATTGAGACTGTTTTACTGTATTATAATTGTGTTATTTGGCCATATGAAAATATTTATCCATCAACTACCCCTAATAATACATATCATGTTTTCATCTCACTAGCTTGTTTTATGGTAGTCAGAGTGTTTGCAGGCCTAATCATGAGTAGGCCTGTGAACTCTGTGGAGAACAGCAGAAATCAGTTTCCATATCTGAGAAAAAAAATATATCAGTAGCTCTAACTCGTTCCTCATTACTGGACTGTTTACTTGGCTAGATTAATCTCAAGGGCCCTTTGTGTTTCTGTTGCTATAACTATAGTCAGGGTCAAACTTACTTTCATCTCGCTAAAAACACACCAAATAGCACTCAAGGGACGCAGGCTTAAGATCTGAGTTGACCAAGAGAGACATTTGACATCACCAAGGGGCCAATTATCTTACAAAAGTTAATTGGGCGTTGTTTCACCACAAATTATTACAAGTGACGTCATGCTAATTGCAAATCATCACAAACTTTTTACATGACAGTGTGTTACTTTAAAAAAATGTGTCTTTGTTTACAGTCTTAATGTTCATGGTTGAAATAATTAAGAGCAACAAATGTTTTTTCACATATGGAAAATCTAAGGGCACAGCAGCACCTTGTTTATGACATTGTGATCAATCTTGCATCATGACCCAGTTTATGGACATTTGTGTAATTTACCAAAATATGTAGGTACCGCAATAATTTGTTTTTTAAATATTTGAAAGATTTCAAGAGGTCTGATACTTAATCTTACAGCATTGGGATTCTTTGTTTTCTGCTTGTCTGTGTTTCCCCATTTCATAAATCCTGTCAATATGTGCTGCAACATCACACTCTGGCCAGCATGGACTCAGAGAAATGAAAAGGTGTCCAATATACAAACTTCAAGGATCCATGCAGGGTCACCCTGGTTAGTCAGGTCACTAAGCTCCCAGGACATCTCAGCTATTTCTAGACTGAAAAAGTCTTTGTACTGAGAGTCATCAATAGCAGCAGCAACCAACAGCCCTGTTGTCTATGCCTATATCTCAGATATATGACTTCTAACAGTCACAATAGACTGTTACCAGTCAATTTTCTTTCAACATCAACAGCCATCTTTTCATTGCAAAGGTGGAACAAAAACTGCATCTGACACAGCATTTACAGGTGCATCTCAATAAATTAGAATGTCGTGGAAAAGTTCATTTATTTCAGTAATTCAACTCAAATTGTGAAACTTGTGTATTAAATAAATTCAATGCACATAGACTGAAGTAATTTAAGTCTTTGGTTCTTTTAATTGTGATGATTTTGGCTCACATTTAACAAAAACCCACCAATTCACTATCTCAACAAATTAGAATATGGTGACATGCCAATCAGCTAATCTGGTTTCCTGAGCCTTCAAAATGGTCTCTCAGTTTGGTTCACTAGGCTACACAATCATGGGGAAGACTGCTGATCTGACAGTTGTCCAGAAGACAATCATTGACACCCTTCACAAGGAGGGTAAGCCACAAACATTAATTGCCAAAGAAGCTGGCTTTCCATGACATTCTAATTTATTGAGATGCACCTGTATGTCTATTTACAAAGACTGTTTAATGCTGCTCAATGACATGTACTGTAATTACACACACACACACACACACACACAAACACACACACACACACACACACGTTGGTATTGGTGGTTTGCGGGGACTCTCCATAGGCTTAATGGTTTTTATACTGTACAAACTGTATTTTCTATCACCCTACACCAACCCTACCGCTTACAGAAAACTTTGTGCATTTTTAGATTTTCAAAACAACACATTCACACTCCCAACTCGATACATATTGTTGCTTGGTCAGGACCATTTGGAATCACTTTTTGACGCACAGGGTAGCACTTTAGCATCATTTTTCGACGTGCAGGGTCCTCCATTGCTTTAAATAAGAAACCTTTGGTGCCAATATGCAGACGCGAAAGGCATTAGGAATTTGATTGTCAAGATTAAATGATATATTGGGTAATAATATTGCCATTATTGCATATATGTTGGGGTGTGATTTTTTCAATATAGACAGTCACAGCAATTTTATTTACATTACACTATTTACACATTTATGAGCACATAACCCAACCCCTGCCCCTAAACCTACCATTTGTCAATAAAACAGGATCTAACAGGCAGACACAAATACAGTCATAAATTATTTTATTATTAAGTCTACATATATTATGAAGTCTTCTGAGGCAAAACGATTGATTTGTGAGAGGAATAGACGTGATCACTGTCTCTATCTGCCGTAAAACTCAGATCCTGTGTGCAGTCTGTGCGCAAATTAAAAAATTGCCGCCAGAAGAAGCCTTGTGTGTCTCGTGACTGATTGCATCATGCTAATGTTTGGAAGTATCTTTTTGAATTAGATGTGAGCGCTTTAAGGGAGCGGGATTATTTTCAGCGATTTAAACCTTATGATTTACTCTGTTCTTCACAAAGATATCCTATGGCATCAGAAGACTTGGAATGCAACACGACTTGTTTGTAATACTTTTATACTGCTTTTTATGGTCAGTTTTTGCAATAAATACATGTGACTATACTTTCATTTGCCTGTCACGTGTTTTATATTGTTCAGAAGTGGATAGGTTTAGAGTAGGGGTGGGGTTAGTTGCTCCAATGAAAGTATACATTTATATGAATAGATTTCTATTTTTATAAATGCATGCAAACCATTAAATTAAAGGGTTAGTTCACCCAAAAATTCAAATTCTGTCATTAATTACTCACCCTCATGTCATTCCAAACCCGTAAGACCATCATTAATCTTCGGAACACAGATTAAGATATTTTTGATAAAATCTGAGAGATCTCTGACCCTCCTTAGACAGCAACGCAACTACAATATTTCCAGGTCCAGAAACATAGCAAGGACATCTGTAAAATAGTCCATGGGACATCAGTGGTTCAACCATAATTTTATGATGCTACAAGAATACTTTTTGTGTGCAAAGAAAACAATAATAACAATTTATTCAACAATTCTTTTTCCAGAGTTATACCATCTTCCGCCGTTTTGGAGAGTATCCACTGAACGTAAACAAGGTAATCGGCAGTTGCTGAACTCAAAATACTATTCAGCATGTCAAAATAATATTAGGTAAATTTGCAGTTTGCGGAATCACACAGACCAAATAAAAACACATTCAGACACAGAAAGTGCATTTCAAAGTAGAATAACTGGCTGTAGCATTGTTTTTTTGGAGAAACAAGTATGTCAATTTAGCACGTATTCGATGTCCGACAGAAGTGGCTGCACAGACAGCATGTGATGATCTCCAGTCCCATTTTACCTTAGCTCCCAACCTGCTTAACCTGGAACTTGCATTTCAGTTTGTGGGGGTTACTATCAGGACAGATAACTGTCTCCCGAGCTCTGTTTTTCCTTTTTTTGCTTTGTGCCCCCCATCGGCCGTTTGGTTATGCCTCATACTCAGACCGCCCAGCCTGATCCTCAAATTCTCTGCTCTCCTTGGCCTTCTTGCCTCAGTCAAGCCCCTTGGTGGTTGCCGGTTCATAATGATCCCTGTTTACCGACTTTCTGTCTAGCCCTGACCTTGAACTGTCTTTTCTGTAGAGAACCTTTTTTGTACGGATTTCTGACTCTGACCCTTGATCAGACCTAACTATCTGTTCTGTCTTATCCTTGCTAGTTAAATGCCAGCTTATTTAATGTGCGTCAGATAAGCTGTCCATGGACAATACAAATAAACATCATATTTCATGTTTGTAATTAATAAAAATGACTTTAGAGACATCATTGAACACATTAATGTAACATAACTCTTAAATATTGTAATGTCTGATTACGTTTCTTAGGGAATTAATTATTATTAATTCATTCAGGTTTTGAAAGGACTCGAATCTGAAAATTCGAAGTCTACCTGATTAGAACTGATTTCAAATTTTAATAGTTTACACCTTATCAGTGGTCGTCCAGCGAGACGTTAATGTCCGTGTATCTTAATCTGACTGTGTGTATTTTCCTTGGCCACAGGTCAATACAATTATGATAATTTGTAAGCTCCTAGCGAGGTAACATGATCTTGGCAAGGTTTGACTTTAAAATTATACGACACCAGACAATGATTCTTTATAAATGAAACATGAATTTATTGGCTATTCTAAATTACATTGACCTAAGCTAAGACATACACATACACACACACATACATACAGTCTCTGAAGAATGAAAATGCTGTTAACGGAGTTCTGAGAAGTTCCCAAAGTTCTAACTCGTTTTCACGAGTGGTTTTAAATTCAGCCTGACAGAATTCATAAAGCAGAGATTTGTCTTACGTTTACTGCTTAAATCGATCATCAGCGCCAGTTCAGCAGATAGAAGATTTTGTTCGTTACTTGCGTTTTGCTGAAAGCTGAAACTGGGTTCCGGTTTTGGCTGCTGGAGGGAAATTCCTTTGCTGATTGGCTGTTGCGATGACATCAGGTTAACGTCCTTTTGGGAGAGCCCTCATTGGATTTGTTGGTTGCCAGGATACAGAGGAGCCTCTGGTTCTTCTGAGAGAGT